AGTACTCTACAAAGGTTTTGTAGACAAAATAAATGACAAAACTGAAGAAATACAGAGACCTTAAATGACTTGCCTAGCGTCACACAGCTAATAAGAGAGAGGGATGGGACTAGAACCTGGGTATTGTGTTCTTGTCTCAAAGTCCAATTGTTCCATCTATTAAATCATGCTACCTCTCAGCAATTAGAAACCATGGTCAATCTCTATAACAGATATTTTAAAATTTAGCCTTATTTGGGGAGGTCGGACGTAAGGGAATATCATAATATTCCAAACTTTGTAATGCTGAAATAAATATACTACAACTGCAACTATTATAACTACCATTACTACTACTACTACTACTACTACTACTACTACTACTACTACTACTACTACTACTACTACTACTAACGATAATAATAGTAACAGCTCACCTTTGTAGAGTACTTTATGGCTAGCAAAATTCTTTTGATATATTAGCTTATTTTACCCACACAATAACCCTAGAAGGTAGTTGTTATTGTTTTACAGATGAAGAGCTTGAGACTGTGAGAGGTAAGTTACTTGCCCTGAGTCACAGGGCCAATATCTGACATATGATTTGAAATCAAGTTTTCCTGACTCCATGTCCCATGTTTTATTCATTACAAATTTCTAAAATTATATATTATGATTAAAAATTGGAAAAATTCTTACTACTTACCTCATAGCATTTTACAAAACTGTAATACACATGTAAATGTGAGATACCACAGGTATTTTAATGTGCATGGGGAATTTGCCTCAGTTTCCTCATCTCTAAATGAATGTAATCATAGCCCTTAATTTGCAGGGTTGTTGTAAGGATAAAATAATATTTGGGAAGTGTTCTACAAATCTTAAAGCAGTAAGTGCAGTGAGGTGGTTCAATACATAGAGTGCTGGGCCTGGAGTCAAAAATACTCATCTTCCTGAATTCAAATCTGGCCTCAGATACCTACTAGCTCTGTGACCCTGAGCAAGTCACTTAACCCTGTTTGACTCAGTTTCCTCATCCATAAAATGAGCCGGAGATGGCAAACTACTCCAATATCTTTGCTAAGAAAACCCCACATGGGGTCACAAAGAGTTGGACATAACTGTAAAGGACTGAGCAATAATAAATATTATTATTGTTATTATAATAAGTTATTACAATTGTAAGTTATTACTCTTCTCTTTCAAGGTGACACTTTATTTTTTTCTGCCTCCAAATCCAATACTCTATCTACTCTACCACCTACCATGCTCCCTCAAATATCTACAGTCAGAATAATCTACGATTCAAGACAATTTCTAAGGTAAAGGAAGAGTGGGAATGCAGGGCCAAAAAATGCTGAGAAACAGACACAGTGACTAAACTTCCACTCAAGTAAGAAGTATGTAACAACAAACAAAAACAAAAAACCTTGCATTTTGTCTGAGCTGTATTGGCCTATGACACAAAATTCTCTCCACCTCTGTTATCTCAGCATGGAAGTGAAGAAGAACTTTCCAGCAGAGGGGGAGGTTCTGGCAGATAAGCTGAAAGGGCTAGAATATGGGTCCAGCTACTTGTGGCAGGACTAGTCCAAAGTCAAAGAAACTCTTCTACTTAGGGTAGGCCACCATCTAATAAATGTTTCTGGCCAGAGCAATTCAAGAAGACCCCAATAAAGGTATGGAGTCTCTGGGACCCGTGTGGTTGGAGAGAACAATCCCAACCAAAGAAATCACAGAAGTACTGTCATAATCTATTTAAGCTTCATTCATCCAATTTATTTCTGGCTCCAACAAATACGCTGAATTTCAAGGATCTATAAAAAATGTAAATGCTGTCAAGAATGGAGACTTGTAGGCACTAAGAGGGTGTGTCTTTAAGAAAATAATCAAGTTCACTATTGTTAGGAAGTATTATGGAAAGCAGCATGGGAGAGTGAAAAAGCACACTAATTCTGAAGTCAGTCATCAAGCTTTTATTAAGCACTTACTATGTGCTAGGCACTGTACTAAACTCTAGAGACACAAAACCCAAACACAAAGAAAGACAATCCTTGCATTCATCAAATTTACATTTGAATGGGGAAAGACTGAAAAAAAAAGGGAGCTGAAAGGGTGGGGGGTGGGATGGTACCCACCCGGAGGCATGGTGGGGAAGTCTGGGGAATGAAGGATGGCCAGTCTGAACTGTTCCTCAAAGTGGAAGTTCAGGGAGGAACTCATCCATTGGAGAAGTCAGAGGACCTGGCTTTATATTTTATCTCTCATAAATGTTTCCTTGGTGATCTTGGGTAAATCACTGAGCCTCCCTAGGGTTCAGTTTCTTTGTCTATAGAATAAGAGTATTTAATCAGATGGTCTTCAAGGTCCCTTCCTCCTCCACATTTGTGATCCTGTGACTCTCAGAATATTATACCACTGCAGAAGACAGCAGGGCCTGGTCTCCACAGGTACTCCTCTGTACATATGAGATCTGGGTTCTAGTATCTGAGCTAGACAGGGAGGGGTAGTTCTCTGTTATTTTTTTTTGCAAAGCCTTTCAAATGAGCAAAACCTTTCACTAAACATAATAGAACTGAAAGTTCCATTTGTAAGAGCTCAACATACCATCCTTTAAAACAAAACAAAACAAAACCAAAAAAAAAAAAGCTCACCTGTGCCCCACACTAAATTTGATACATTTCAAAAGTATTTGGAACCCCTTCAAAGCACAGGTTTTCTATCACCTCCAAAGTCTCTGAACGTGTTCCAGACACTTGTAATCAGATGTTTAGCTACCTCACTTTTCATGCTATCTAACCCTTTCTTCTGTTCATGCCATTTTTGCCTTGTTATATTAAAAACTATGCAAATTGAGTCTTGAAAATAATCAAGTTAGACTATCTGATCCTCCCACGTAATTCAGATGCTTCATTATGCCTTGGGGTTGATGCTAGATTCTTAAAAGCTATCCTGTGTCTTACTAAGCTAAGAAAGAATTTTTTTAACCAGTGAAATTAATAAAGGATTAAATTATAAGTCATGGAGGGGTAGTAATCAGCCTCAGTGATGGGAGTATCCATGCATGATCAAAAGATCCTGGATTTTGAAATAACCACTGCCAATCAATTAGTATTTATTAAGTGCCAGACACCATGCTACGTGCCTATGCATGTTCTCCCATGCATTCAATTCTTTCAATCATTTCCTTTAGCAAATATTTATTAAGCACCTACTGAATACAGAGCACTATGCTGTGCTGGAGGTAGACGGCAGGAGAACACACAAAGTTTAGAGAAGGCATGGTCCCATATTATATGGAGGTTTTAATCTAGTAGTAGTGACTGGCCAGCCTTGTGTTTTATAGCTAGAAATTAAAATGTTCTTATGACTGTGTTTCTACCCAGAAAGAGTGTGACGGAAAAGGGAACCGTGAAGCTGCTCCTGAGACTCAATCAACTTTGTACCTTCTAATATCACCCAGTGTGATTCTTGGTCCAATGCTCAACATTCCATTCCCATCGTGCATGGAATACTTATTTCTTAAGCAAGTCACTTCCTTTTAAAAGAGATTATATTCCATAGTAATGTCCCAGGAAAACTTTTAGCTTGACAGCTTCCCAGGATACACTCTAGCTCTTAGTAATGTCTGTGGAGCTAAGCTTTCTGTTCAGATTTTATCAAACAAGAATTATAACAGCTATTGATATTTACATAGCACTTCAGGGTGTGCAAAGTATGTTTTCATGCTATCCTTCTAGTTCTAAATGGCCTCCCAAATAACCAGTGAAAATGTGACAGAATCTTAATGTTTTCTTTACTATGAACATAACTCAAATTAATGCTTTGGCTAAGCCTATATTATTAACAATGAAAAACTTCTCTGTATTTCTTTATTACCATCATCACTGTTTGAAACCTTTGAATACAAAAGTAATTTTTCACTTCATCCCCTAAATCTTTCCACTACCACATCACTCTTCTCTTTTTATTTCCTTCTTCTTCCTCAATTTTCATCTTGAGATGCCCATAAATAAATCACAATTTTTAATTCTTAATGTCTCAAAAAACTCAGGATAATTTATAATTAAGACAAAGCTTATTATTGGATGGTTTGAAGGGGCCTGGTAACAATTCAGTTCTGACTTTTTCTAACAGAAGAAACATCGAGCTCCAGGCTACACACTCCGGCAAAATGCAAAAGGGATGAGGCTACCATGCACTTTTGGCATATCCTGTTCATGTCAGAGTCTCACTTCTCATACACATTCATTCCTGAAGATGCTCTCTTGTGGATGACTCTTTTTGGCTTGGTTCTTCCTCTTAAACATGAGAACCAGTTTATTCAAAGGCAAAAAAAAGTTTGTGCAGTGACCATGTTCCCTCCAAACTTCTTTTAAATGAGCAAGGTAACGGGGAGAAAATTTTAACCTAGGGTAAAAGTGGGCAGAAGGAAAAGGACCAAGGTTCAATCTTACCTCTGGTACTTCTTAGAGTTATTATCCTGGGCAAGTTACTTAACCTGGCAACCCCCTGGAATTTATCTTTTTAAACCTCAGAATAAATGAATTATAATCATTATAACAATACTGTAAAAAATGATTATTGCTCAACTATCTCTCTAATAAGAACAGGACCTTATACTTGCATTAATCTTGAACCTTAAAAATGTTCTCAGGTTCACTGTCTTCCTTGATCTTTAAAATATTCCTGTGACATCTACAGGGTAGATGTGATTAGCTGATATAATTAGCAATATTGTGCAAATGAAGAAAGTATGGTCCAAAAAGGTTCTACCACTGAGAAGTTGGCAGAGATGGGCCCAGAAGCCAGGCCTTTTGACTCTCAATCAAATGTTCTTCCCATTCTGCCCCACTGCATCCTCTTGTGTCATAAATTATGATCAAATAACATTCTGAGAGAAATGCTCTCTTATTGTTGATATTCATATAAATCAAACAAGAGATACCCTAAATTTCTCCTGTAAAAACTAAAAGAACATGGGAAAGGCATTCCAGTAGCACATGACTACAACAACTTACCATGTTGGCTGGAATTCCTGCTTATATTCTCTCCTTTCTCAAGAAATCTGTGGTTCACCTGTAGTCCTCCTCCCACTTTGCTGTCAGGGGATGCAGATCCATTTGCTTGACTTGTCATGGTATTCATATGAGTTGGGATGGGCTCAAATGTTGGGTCTAGTTCTAAGATCAGCCTATTGAGCTGTTCGATGGATTGGTCAATATCCAGAGTTGGAGATCCTGGTAAAATTCCTGCATTCAATCCCATATCAACCCCATTTATCTCTTTCTCCGGCGTTAACCTAGGTTTGAAACCTTCTGGGTAAGAGTGCTGGGGTACTTCATTAGGATTTGATATACTACCTAAGCCCCTCTGCACAGCATCCCTGCTGCTGGAGCTTCTTGTGGGAGTTAGTGGAATCCTGGGCTGGACTGGAACATAGTTGGAATTCTCTGAAGAGTTGTGGATGGCAAACCTCCCCTCACTATCTGTTGCATAGCTGTACTGATGTGCTGCCACTAGTTGCTGTTGGCGCACCCAGGTCTGAGTGGAATAGGTGCCCTGTCCATAGGCTGGTGCCTGAGATGACACTGTAGGGTTCCTCAAGAGCTGCTGAACCTGCTTGGGCTCACCATTTCCAAATGATCGCTCATAAAGGGGATCTACACCGATGCCCAGGTCTGGAGCAAGGGCAATGTGGTGGTCTTCCCCAGTGTTGCTCCCAAACCCATCTGATAAGAGAGAATTTTGACTACTTTTATGGCAGGTAAAGTTTCCAAGGTGGCTGGAGTGTTGACCTTCTGAAGAGGACAAAGTCCCAATACTGTCCACGCTATGTAAGTCATGATTGGGCATCTCATCATCTAGGATGTCTGTCTCCCTGTCTTTCAGCTTGGAATCTCCATTCACGTGAACCTGGGCTGGCACTACGTGACGAGTCCCACTATACTTACTCCGGACATCGGTCATATCCTTTGGGGAGCTTACAGAATCTTCCAATCCAAACCCACTGAGGAGCTGGTCCAGTTCTGCCTTTTCTTGCGGGCTCAATCCCCTTTTGGTGCCTGGAGCTGAGCGCTCTTCAGTCTTGTCTGTCCTGACCGAGGCAGTGGAGTGGCCTGAATCACTGCTAACAGACAAGGTATGGTCACTGTGATCAGGGCTGCTGGTTACCGGAACGACCTGGGTCCCACTTGGGATGTTGTTGTCAGAGATGCTCTTCTTTCTCACTTTAGCATAAAGGCTGCCATCAATTGGACCTTGGGTGTGTAACACTGGATTGGTGGAGAGAAAAAAAAAAAGGTATTATTAGATAAAAGTTTAAAACATCTCTAGAGTTGAAGAGGTAAACATTTTAATATTACAACAGTGACTAATGCATTTAATAATCCATCGGCTTAGAAAAGTACCATGCTTTGAGAACCACAGCCTGGCACTCTTTTATCACCCTAAGCTACACCTTTCACTTCATAACAAAGGTCTCATTAAGTAAATACACACACACACACACACACATACACAGTCTCAGAACAAGTTGAGGAAGGCAAACAAAAACATCAGCTCAAAGAGCGTACGGCCAACTGTGTTTTCTTCATCTCTGCTTTATTTTACTTTGCGATGAAATTGCGGTCATACGATAACAAAATCTGAAAACCCACACTCTCTGGGCACCTGGGATTTGTGAAACATGATGAACACACATTCCACAACAGGCTGAACATGGCTTTTGAAATGTTCAGGAGATATGCTTCAAGCATGTGTCTCAGGGCTCCTGGTCCGTCGGTTCATGCTAAATGCATTATCAAGGGTCAATGACTGGTGGGGCTTCTCCCCCCACCCCCCTTTGTAAAGCCTGAAGATATGTCAGGCACTCCATCAAAAGCAAGTGCTCCTAAACAGCATGTCAGAACACATACAGGAATAACCAAATGAATGTGAATTGTGCTTCCTTTTTATTTTGGCTTTACTAATAACAGAGAAACCTGATCGTGTTACACAGTGGATGTAATAAAAGGAGGTGAGTAGCTGGCTCAAGGTGAGCAATCATGTAACAGTTTCATGTAAATATGACAAGATGGAATATAAGAGAATGGGGGAGGAGTGTGTGTGTGTGTGTGTGTGTGTGTGTACACGCGCGCGTATGTGCGCACATGTGTCTACAGACACAAGTATGCGTGTATGACAGGGGGTATGAGAGAGTAATATCATATGCTAAAAACCTCAAAAACATTTCAATTCTAAAAAGTGATGATCTTCATTGACACGGAGAAAACAGCATTCAGAAGAGACTTAGAAGCAAACAGGGCTAGAGATTTGGAGGGTTAGATTTGGATGGCAAAGTTAAAGTGCCTTCTATAAGGTCACTCATGCCCACACCAGGTTTCTGTGAAAGATAACTTGCAAGTATATATATGGACTTATTGAGTTTTAAACTCTTAAACGCTTGAGCCAACCCACAAAATCATTCTGCAAATCACCTAAAAGAATCACCTAACTTACTTTCTCATACATATAATGTGATTTTTAAGTATTCATGATTCCTGCTTCCATCATCACCATCCTGTATCTATTTGTGGAATTTCATGTGAAAATGAAGACTCTTCAGATGGTTACTGAAATTAATGGGCAAGCAGACCACTGATCAATGCTATAATGGAGCATATAAATGGGATATATCTTTTTTTTTTCTTTTTTTTGGGCTAGGCAATGAGGTTAAGTGACTTGCCCAGGGTCATAGATCTAGTAAGTGTCAAGTGTCTGAGGCTGGATTTGAACTCAGGTCCTCTTGACTCCAGGGCCAGTGCTCCATCCACTGCACCACCTAGTTGCCCCAAGGGAGGACATATCTTGACTGCTATACTACACATGATCAGAAATAATTAAATGATCAGAAACATCACTGAAAATTATTATATTGCCAATTTTATAAATTGCCATGACTGGGTATTGAGGTCTTTATTTTTCAGTGTGTTCTTTTTTAATTGCTCAAGGAGTGAGTGAGTGGGAGGGAGAGATTAATAAAAGAAAAATAATTTGCCATAAATGATGAGATAAAATGGATTAGTGCTTTATTGCTATAAATATAAAGCCAACAATCAATTGGAAAATAGCTCCTCTAATATGTAATCAAAATACAGTCCAAATAGCGCATCAATAATTTCTGACTACAAACAACTGTCCAGAACCTATACTTCAAAGATTAACTACTTATGAGCAGTCTTTAATTGATAACAATCAAGTAGGCCACTACCACCTTGAGATGCCACAGGGAAAGCCTATAAACCTCTGTTCAGAAGTGCCTTTTGAGTTCTAGAATTCTTCTTCTGACTGTAGAGACAGCAGGATCTCACAGGGGCAGAGACATGAAATGGTGTGGCTTCAAATGTCTCAAAGGTAGGAGCTCTAACAATAGAAGCTAAGGTGGCTTCCTTGGGGGCTTTTGTAATTGAGGTTTCCGAGGGGGTCTGATTTCCAGTGTTTAGGGGTAGGGTGATATTAGTGTCTCTAGCTGCAGAAGTGGTAGCCACTGATGGAGTAAGTCCAAGAGGCTCTTGTTCCAGAATAGCAGTGAGATATATTCCTGTATTTCTGAATTGGGACTGGCAATATATTTTTAGCCAGCAAAAGAAAACTGAATACAATCACCAAACATTTACTGCCTACTTTGTGTCAACAAGCACTGTGCTAGGGCTGGAAATACAAAGAGAAAAATTATATAGTGCCTAAAAGGCAATCATTATGAATTTACATACACACACACACACATATATACATATATACACATATGTACATATATATGTACACACATATATATACACATACCCACATACATACACACTACATACCAGGCATTGTACTAAGTATTGATTGTACTAAATGCTAATGGCAAAAAATGGTCCCTGCCCTCAAGTAGTTCACATTCTAATGAAGAAGACAATATGCAAATATCTATGTAAATACATATATTTATATGTGACATATAAAATATCTATATAATGTAAATGGAAGGAAATCTCTTTGTAGGTTTTCTATATTTCCAAACATAGTACTATTTAAAAAACAAAAATAACCAAGGTTCACTCAAGCAAGCAATGGATGAACAAGAACTTAGCAGGCATCTGTGCCAAGTAGCACAGTAGGCGGTGAGGTACAAATACAAAGCTGTCACAGCTTCAGCCCTAAAGGAGCTTGAATTCTATTGGCAGGAAGAACATACACATATCAAGGTAATCTGGGGGGAAGGCACTAGCAGCTGGGGATCAAGGTAGGTCTCACACAGGAGGGGAGGTTTCACCTGGACTTGAAAGGAAATAAAATATTCTAAGCTATAGAGGTGAGACAGAAATGCATTACATGAATGGAGGGCACAGGTAAGAAAGGGTATGGTCTGTGTAAAAGGACAAAGATAGAAAATGGAGAGTCTGTGGTGAGGAAAAGAAAGAAGTTCAGTTTGGCTGGATCACAGAGTGTAAAAAAGTGTGTAATACCTCCGAAAAAGTGGGCTGGATCCAGTTTGGGAAGGGCTTGAAATGCCAAACAGGTTCAAATTTTATCATAGAGACAATAGGGGTGTGTTATTGAGCAAGGGAGTGGCATAGTCAGTTAGACCTGCCCTTTAGAAATACTACCTTAGGAGCCTTGTGGAGGATAGATTAGAGAGGGGGGAAGAGATTTTAGGGAGAGAGAGCAATTAGGATGCTACAGCATTAGGGCAGGTGAGAGGTAATGATGGTGACGACTGTGTGAATGGATGGAAAGCAGTGACTGAGAAAGATATCACAGAAGCAAAAAATTGACAAGATTGGCTATGGGGAGTAAAGGAAGTTGTTCTACATTCTAACCCTTTTCCTATTTTAACTCACCAACAGAATATTAAAAATTGGCCCTGCCCCTTCCCCATTTTTTGGAGTCCAAAGCAGTCTTTTCATCAGAATGGGGACAACTCACAGAAGAGGGACCCTCCATTGAATTCAAATGGCCCTTTGACGTTCTCATGGAATTGCCTAAGCTCTGAAAGGTCAAGTGGCTTTGTACAGGCCACACAACCACTACGGAACAGTGGTAAGAATTGGACCCAAGTTTCACTAATTAAAAGTTAGCATTCTCTCACCAGTATTTATGTTAAGATCAAAAGACAAATGAATGATAGAAAATAAGCTATCTGAAAGTACAAATATAATGGAATATTCACCAGAAATTCTAAAGGGAAGATTCAATGCCTTAGGAACTAATGAGAAGCCCTGGTTTTGGTTTGTTTGTTTTCTGTGACTATAGAAAAATAATTGATCAACCTCAGCAGGTTCTTGGGGCTAGCCAGCATTATTCTGAATGGAAACTAGAACATATTTTCAAGAAGGGTTTTAATAATTAAATATTTAAAGGTTCCCTCTTGGAAACTGTCATATAGCACAGTTAGAACTTGGCATTCATCACTCCTACCTTTTCTAGATGCTTGGCCATTTTAGCTAGAGAGATTATTTTAGGTCCCAGAAAGTAAACATTTTGAGTCCCTCTACACTCCAGAGCATAGGCTAAGAAGAGCTTGGAATGTTAACACCTCAAATCACAGTATCACAGAATGCTAGTTGGTAATGCCTACCAGAGTCTTGTTCTCTGTTGGCATAAATTGGGAATTCTTCGTCTCCAGATTCTAAGCAGGACTTTATTGAATGATTAGTTTATATGATAAATCAGAGTTCTACAACATTTTGCAGTTTACAAAAACCTTGCCCTATGTGGTAGGGAGTGCAAGTATTAATGTTTTCATTTTATAAGAAAGGAAACCTTGGACAAGTCTGTTAGGCTCTCTCCTCCTCAGTTTTCTCACCTGTAAAATGAAGTAGTGGGACTAGGGCACAGGTTCCCAACCTTTTCTAGTCCCCAAACACTTGACTTTCAAAAAACTTTCTCATATTTCCTTTTCAATAGGAAAAGTAAATAATGTTAGAGTTTACCATGCATATTACCCACAAGAAAAAATGTAAAATGATTAATTAATTCCCCGCCTTTGCCCCTTAACAAGCTTGTCCTATTCTCTGTTGGTATACATATTCCAGGACTGGAAACCCGATCTCTAAGGTTTCTCTCAGCACTAAATCCTGTGATCCTGAGGATGAGACATTAAGTGATTTGCCAATAATCATGCAGGTATCAAGTCTAGGCTTTAAACTACTATCTTCAACCAGTGATCTAAGGTCACAACATAACAAACAGGGTGGTTCCCAGTAATATCCGTGCCAAGAGGGCAGGGATTCTATAACATATTTGTAAGGAA